GCCATTTGTTTCACTTTCTCCAAGCTACTTTCGGCCCCTCCGTGGCGCTGGTCTTATTATGCTAATAAGCCCAACGTTCCGCTGCTTAACGGATCTTTTGCTGCAGTCGCTGTCAGACTGATCCAGTCTAAACTGCATGATGGAACATTTTGGAGTCTGGAACGGATGGCACGCTCTGCGCCGGTGGGTTATAGAATTAGTCAGATAAGATCAACTTTAAAACGCCTAATTCATTATGGAAAATAACAGGATCTGCATGCTAGGCATTAAAAGTGTAGCATATCAGAGCTCATGTGGGCTTTTGTCCCCAGACTGAACTGTGGTAAAGGATGAGCTGGAAGCAAGGCTCATTCTCCAGGGATGCAGCGCGCATGCATGTGTTTGACTGAGAGGTGTCCTTCTCTCACGTGAACCCCACAACAAACTCCCACTCGATTAAAGAGGACAGTTAGCGCCGCTGGTGAGGATGGCATTTAGCTAGATCACACAGCTCACTCTTCTAATGCATATAACTTAATGCATTTACAGTCACTATGACATGACGGTGAGCAGGTTGACCTCTTCACTGAAGAATAATTAATAAACTGTACACTGAGATGTGCTGATGCTTCTTTAGTTCATGTGATTGTTATTAGCACTTCAGAGTTACCGTAAAAACAGCCCTGTGGTAAAAACTAGGACTGAACGAGTCAAGGAAAATATCTAATTGTAATTTTTACTAATTGACTAATATTGCGACTGTAATTTAAATATTGAATGTTTTATATAAAAATAAAGGATCAGGCCTGAACACTGAATGTAGTGCATCAGACTGCCCGAAAATTCTGACTATATTGCCATGTTCACAGATCATGGGTGATTGGGTGTTAATGATTGGTCCAACTCATCTACATGAAGTTCATAAGCTCCACATTATTAGGCTAAATAACCTCACCTGAAATTTGTGGAGGTAACGTTGCTGCAGGTACTGTGGGCTACAATAAAAACTGCAGCTCTTGCGATTTGAAAACTGCACTGCTCATTTCTTTATTTAATGAAAACCATAGCAAGATACTAGTATCACCACACATGAACATAACGACTTTTACACGTTAGTTGATAACCTACATTTACATCACATTTAAAGTAGCTAACACAGATGAAATTACTGTAGAAACGTGACTTTTGGGCTACACTGGTTGAAAGCGCTAAGTTATATCAAGGCAGAAATCATGCCTACAAAAAGTCACCCACGGTGCAGTGTAGTTTTTAAGACATCCTGAGGCCACAGTGTCAGGCTTCAGACATCAAGAAATGGCTTCAAATGCTGGGAAAAAAACATTGTAATCTCAGCTCAATCAGATTAAGATAAGAAGACACAAATACCATGGCAGTGTACTGTTTTTTCTTATTAGATAAATCACAGCTTCATGATCAAATTAAAGATTACAAATACAGAACTGCACTATTATGTCCTTTTATTCGATACATATTCAGTTTCAAATCATAAGCCTCAAACTTATCAACCAGAAAGTGTTGCTACTATTATTATCATTAGTAGTAGTAGCAGTAGTGGTAATAGTACCTAGTAGGTCTGTTTGTTGATGTGGACACATTCTTAGCGATACAGAGATAATACAGAGAGATGACAATAATAATACTAGAAACTTATTTTATTGTATTATTCTAGTAGTCATTTTGAGATGGCTACTAACTGTGAAGCAAAGCAGAAGACTAAGCTAAGCGGTCACAAACTATTAGACAGTCAAGTTTGTGTGTCACTGGCAACTTGAATCTTTCGTACTAGATTATTTACAGTTTTGTGGCCAAATTTAAAAAAATATCACAACACAATCAGAACATTTACTGAACTGTGTTATCATCCTCGTGTCATCACTGCGCTTGGTCCTGCGTCCACTTTAGTGTTAGAGGCAGTCACAAAATTACCAGACGAAAAGATAAAGTAAGGGGGAGGGGTGAAAAAACAACCAACCAACCAAACAAAAACAGCTCTGTTTACCATGGTTATTTTCCACATACTTGGCTGATTAAGGGGATTCTGTTACAGTACAGGCTTTTTACGAACATTTTATTCCAAGTCATTCCGGACTATTTCTTCTGGTCCATTCATCATAAAATATTTACACAGCTTAAAGGGCAGCTGGCATTTTCTCTCACACACACACACACGGTCTGATGGTCTGAAGCAGTCGCACAAGTCTAAGGTCACAATGTCCAAAGCCAAGTGTAGAACAGAGGGGTACAAAGCCCCCCAACATTGCACTGTGAAGAAGTAAAACTGCATTCTCTAGTGTGATGGAGCACCAACCAATACTATTGGGATGAGTTAACCCTAACCCTAACCCTCCTGCTGCTGAATGCAATCAAATCCTCCAACATTTAGCATAAAGCCTTGTCCAAAAAGTAGAGACAGTTACTTCAGCAGAGGGGGACAAACTCGTTTTTACTTGATTTTGGAAGAAACACTTAATGAGCAGGTGTCCACAAACATTTGGCCACAGTGACAATAGGCTCAGAATTCTTTATTCTGCTATGGCCATCAGGGTTTACCTAATAGGCCCATTTTATGCACCTGCAGGAAAAAAAGAAATAAATAACAAATGCACTTTGAAATAATGCAAATAAAGTCACTGTTCTATTTTTAAACAGACACAAAGATGCAGAATAACCCTACCTCCAATTATTTGTGTTTAAAACAGAATTAATTAGTTTACAGTGCCCTCCAGTATTAGTAGCACCCTGGTAAATATGAGCAAGAAAGACTGCAAAAAAAAAGTGTTCCTGTGTTATTTATCAGTTTGATCTTACAAAGAAAAACTGAAAGCACTAGAACATTTCAGTGACTTAAGACGAATAACAAATACCTCATTATATGAAATCCACAAAAGCATATTAATTATTTGGCCCCCTGGAAATTCTTGTCTCTCCAAGGTATAAATGCGAAATGTCGCAGACCAAACACCACTGGTCATCAATCAACATGCGGGATGCACAAATGAAGTGAGACAAAAGGTTGCTGCATTTAATGAATCAGGCAGTGAGTATAAAAGAAAGGTAGTTTCAGGTTTGAAACCAATCTACACGACAAAAGGTCAATTTCAAACTACTGGAGCTGTGGGACCCTGCAAGTGGACACAAGTGCATTTCCCCCCACACAAAAAGAAGGAGGCAAAACTTTAACAAAATTGTAATCTAGTTATTTATTATAATTATTTATTAAATTGTCTTTGTTATAATGTTGAGTAATAGGTGCTGATTGCATCCTGGAGGCACCAAGTCTCCAAAACTACGACTAAAAAAAAAAGCCACCTCAATCTCAATAAACTATCTGGAACAGTTGCCACAATATTGGTATTGTCAAAACAACACGCGTAAGCACCTGGCGCTAACTGCCCAGGGCTCTGATTGGAAGTGGGTACTGTGGTCAGATGAGACAAATGAGCCTTTTGGCAACAAACCACAGTGCTGGACTTGTAAAAGTGTCAAGGTCATGTAGAAAATAACCTAATCCCAATGTGAAGTACGGTGGTGGATCAGTCATGTTGCCACGCTATTTTAATTCCAAAAACCCCATCTTATCAGGATACATGGAATCAAGGATTGATGCATAGAACTAACGATTTCACCAAAAAAAGCAAAGATTGAGTTGTGCTGTAAGTTATAGCAGGCCAATGATCTGAAGCATACCTCAGAATAAATAGTTCACTGACCACATACTCAGGCTTTTGCAGGACAACCGAAGTCCCCTCATCTAAACCTCATGAAAAGCTCTGTCATATTTTCACTGTAAGATCAAGCGAATAAACAACAAAGACAAAAAATGTGTAGTAAATTCTATTCATTTCAATTTAATGATTGTATTCTGCTGCACTTGCATCACTTTTAGAATATTTCAATTTTCAACTGTTAAAAGTTGCCTAAAGTGTAACATATTTAAGTAAATGTTTTTGCAGAGTGATGAGTGATTCATGTTTTTTTATCTAAATTTTATCAAAATGTATTTGAATGTTTTTTCTTTCTTTTGGAGGGCAGTAGTTTCCTCTGTGGTATTCTCCCCTGAACACCACTTTCATTCCGTGTTTTTCTTAAAGCAGACTCATGATCAAGCGTAAGAGATGCCTGCAGATCCTTAGCTGTGACCCTAAGGCTCTTTATCACTTGTTTACGCTTACTTCAGTATGCCCTTGCACTGATCCTTGTAGGACGCCCACTCCTAAGGAGAATTTCAACAGTGGTGAATTTCTTCCAAGTCAGTTAAAATCCTTTTGTAACCCTTTCTAGTCTCTACAGCTTTTCTTGTTTGATTAGGGGCTTGAGCAGAAATATGTTCTGTTGAGCAGCACAGAACAAAATTTGGTATTTTTTTATGGAAGAGCAGGTCAAACCGAAATCTGAAGAGCCTGGAACACCTGACTCCAATTACTGTTTTTATTTATTTTTTAAAAATACATTATTATCTTAGTTCACATGCTTTTTCCATCAATGACCTGGTTTTGTATGACAATATGCTTGCAAGCACCTACTTTTAGTCGCAAAAAGCTGCAACTGCGGCTAATTCTAGATAATTCTTTAGCAAAGTAATTCATCACTCAGTGATTTTCATAACGTTCAACAAATTGCTTCTTGTCCCTTTCAGCCTACACAGCGCTTCATAGCAGTTTGCTGAGAATAGCCTTGTAGTTCCTCAATAAGGTGTGATTAAATAAATGAGGAGATGATTATGTAACTCCTGGGTTGACTTTTTTGTATTCTATGTGCACGGTGGAAATATGAAAGGCAGTAACTGGCACCTGAATGAAGGCGCACTGGCTGGTATTCACCAAGACCTTAGCTAGAAGCCAGCTAAGGTACCGCGCAAGTGTTAGGCCGAGCGCTTTTATAGAACAATCGATTCAAAGTGGAAAGTGTAACATTTCACATTTTCTTCTACATGATGTTACCTCAGTATCAGTTTGAGGTTACCCACCAACGAGCGCATGTGTGAGAGGGGCATGCTCTACCTTGCTTAGCCTCCAGCTCCTCCAGAGATAGCGTGGGCTTCTTCTCCTCAGGCTGTGGGGGAGGCGGAACCTCTCTCTGCACCTCCATTCCCGGCATGACCTGCTCCGCCCCCTCCTGCTCCTCCTCTTTTTCCCTATCCTCGTCGGAGTCGTCGTCTAGCCGCACCCGGTTCTTCTCCAGAGGCAGCATGTCGTTCTCTTTGGACTTTATTGCAAAACAGATGGGCGCAAAGGACGCTGGGAAGCGAGACACAGAGGTACAGTATTATTGCTAAATCTGTCTCATTTAGGCATGGCCATTAACCTTCCTCGCTGGGCTGAAAATGGGCCCAGCACTGATGGCCATTAGGACCAAAGACAGGATCATTACAGCCTGGCTCATATCTCACCAGAATGAGTGTTAACACAGTGACAACCTCGCAATGACACTCCGCTCTCCGAGTAGCAGTATTAAATTTGGGAATATTCAGGACAACAACCCCAATTAACAGAAAGAGGGAGAGCCTAACTGCGGCTGGGCAGGAGGAGTTTTTTGGTAATTTGAGCCAGACTGGTGGTCTGGCTCTGGAGGGCAGTTCTGTTGAGGCGTGTGTCCCAATCTTACCTTTAATGAGTTTGCCCTCGTTACTCTGTTTGTCTGAGGAACAGTTAGCTGTGCTGCCTCCATCACTGCTCCGCACCCCAGAGCCCTGAAAGAGAACGAGAGATTGAAAGAGTAATGTGCAAGACAAATGGACATCAAATAATAGGTAAGCAAGCCAGAAGGACAGGAAATGAGGAGTGCTGCATGATGCACATCTTTTGAAAAAGTCTGAATGACTCCTGTGTACACCTGCCCTTTACGGTACTGTTTCTGCTTTTGGCTAATGTAAGCTATGATGAATTTTCCGAGCAACCTAAGTGGTACTGCAAAAAGAGCACGTAAAGGCCAACTGGGACAGAAAGAGAACAATATGTTAATGCAGCGGAACCTTCACATCCAGTCCAATGCACTTTTTTGTTCATTCTGAGAATGCAGGAAGAAGACAGAGGAGGAAGAAGATATGGATTCCTTGAGTAACAGCGATAGTCCATATCTCATTTTTCTTCTAAGCACTTCAACGAAAAAAGGCTAACAGTCTGCCACTCTTTTCCAGGGGGGGGAACAGACAAGATACACGTAGAAAAACAAAAACAAAAAAAAATGGAAGTTCTGAAAAAGTAATTTCCACTTAGCCCAGATGTAGTCAATCAGCCAAGACAAGTTTGGAGTCCAAATTTTAAAGGTTAATGTTGTTAACGCTAGAAGTTAATACATACCTAAATTACCCAGTCCTTTCCTGTAAAATTACATCTTCAAAACTTCTCTCAAACCACATTCAGGTCTTCATTAGGGGTGTGCAGACTTGTCAATGTAGTTTATAATACAGCATGACCTACTGCAAGCTATACAAAAAAAAAACTTCACAGGACAGCCGAATGCTGCGGGCAGCCTTTTTTATATGACTTATATTTGTGTGAAGATGCACAGAAAATATCCGCATCGAGATGAAAAGAAGGGATATAGTGAAGAGTAATTCGCAGAGGCTGACAGAAGCCACAACGTCCACACCTCCAAAACCTCAACTACATGTTGTGCGAATCTGTGGAGCTGTGTGTCAAAGTAAATGTTGACTGGCTCTCCAGTAGCATTGAGGGAAGAAAGAGACTCAAACAATACTTGAACCAGAACTACCACAAAGTTATGTGCACGTAGCAGTCGGCCGAAGGGAAGCGATGTTATGGGTGTTTAAAACAATTCATTTTAAAAACATTACAAAAACAGTGGAGTGAGTAGTCATTCTTGGAAAGAGAGCAAAAATATCAGACCTGGTTTGGATTGCCCCTTAGTGTACACGTTTATGTTACATGAGACGGTGGGAACATCTGTGCACTATTCCCGCACAAGTTCACAGATACGTAGACAAGGAAGCAGAAACAGAAATCAGCCTTCAGGGAGTAGGAGTGCTGATCTAAAATCAGTTTTTGTGACCATGACCATGATCATTAGAGAGGAATCAGATCCAAGATCAAGCCTCTCCACAGTGGTCAAGCATTGTTCACATTTTTTTTTTTTTTTTGAAATTCATATTAAGTCATACTCTGTCCTAAACCACATTAACAAGCCTGCGAGGCCTTAATGAAGGCCCGGATGCAGCTTGAAAGAAGTTTTGTAGATGTATTTTTACAGAAATGCTTTAGTGCTATTTGAGCGATTATTGATTTCAATTGTTTGTTGGCAACATTAGCCTTACTGCTTCTGTTCTAAGCTACAGGAAGATTTGGACTCCAATCATGTCTTGGCTGACTGACTACATTTGGGGTAAGTGGAAAATTTCACCAAAGCATTCGTTTAAACTCTGCATTTTTAAAATCAATGTGTTGCTAGCCGCATAAGCTTTTGTGCTTTGCCACAAGCAAGTTCAGCCTTCCTTTAGCCATATTGACGCACATTTGCTGGGACTGCAACCATGACAATGGAGCTCTGATTGGACAGCCTGATTTTAAAAGCATCCAAATAATTGAGCTTGCTCAGATTACAGATTTTGAACAACCATCACCATTCATCAATTGGGAGACTTTCATAGCCATTTTCATAAACTAACTTCCATTTTTTTTCCCACCCATACAAGTCAGACTTGGTGTAAATTGGTCTTAAAAGGATAGTAAAGTATAAAGCCTTGAACACATCTGGCTGAATAGCTTAGGCTCTGAGCACTAAGAGTCCAGCTTAAATGTCAAATTAGAGTTAAATTACACAGCCTAAGAAATACTGCACTGTCATTCCAAAACATATGTGCTGCAGAGAGAAGGCAGAGAAAGCGACAGATTCAAAAAGGAGAGGGAGATGGAGAAAGAACAGAAAGGAGAGAGAGTAGAAAGTGAGGACGGCACAAAGGTGATGGAAAGTGGAGCTAAAGTTATGTCACTAATAGAAGTTTTTCAATATTTTACAGTTCTATTAAGGAAGTGTCGGTGACTTGTCTGCAAAGCCCGGTGTAAGATGAGAGGTCACGAGGCCATTAGCCTGCCTAAAAATCTCTCTCCCAGCAGAGGTGAAAGATGATGGGAGAGCTGATGGGAGAGAAGCCAAAAGAGATGAGATCTGGGACAGGCCAACTCACTAGATATAGTGAGGAATAGAGGGGGAAAAAAAAAGAAAACCAGGCCAGATAGGAAAGTGCTTAACTACGTGTTCCAACACCTTAAACAAAGCGCTATCCTGCTGCTCTAAATTATGAAAACTCTTCACAGCTGCTCGCTGTTTGTTTCTGCTGTGTTGCTTGGCCCTGTATGGACAAGCGTTTTCATTAATGTTTCAATTCATTCTGGTTGTCGGTTGATTCTCCAGGCACACAGCCGTTGTGTCATCCTACATTTGTGCATTAATATCAAATGCACATTAATATCAGAGTGGGGCTCTTCTATAGCTTTGCTCATGAGCATCTCTTCCTGCATAGTGGAGTCCAGTTAATTTATATGCTGGAATGCAGCATAAAGAAGCAGAAATCTTGTAAATCCTGTTTATGTGGGGAGTGCCAACAGAAGAAAAAAAAACACAGATGGAGCATGACGTGGAAGCGGTTCTGTAAAGTCCAAATGCAGCTTTAAGAGATTTTCCATAAGAAAGTGGTGCACGGTCAACATGTACAGCATCTCATGCATGAGTCCAGCTAAGCCGGATCAAAGCAAGGGAATAAGGAGACTTAGCCTGAAGAATACACGGAAGTGAGGGCAGAGGCCACTCGAGGGGATTTCGGTAAAGACTAGTTTTCTCAGTGCAGCAGGTTAGCTAAGCTTGACGTAAGCGCCTCTCAGACACGAAGACTCATGCCCTTTTTATACAGGGGTCAATGACATGCATGTTTGGGTGTCCAAGTCCATTATATTCCCAGGAAATGAATAATCTAATACATATACAAAGTAGTAGTACATCATTCTACAACACTTCCTTTATGTAAATGCATTTTCGGTGCATCAAAAAATAAAGGCATTTAGTCTAAAATGTCAGGTGGTGCGACCCTCCAACTATATATGCAGATTCAAATTAAAACCTTAAAAACCAATTTCCTGTGGCACAACCGACAACAGAGTACTTTTATTCTGACATTAAAGAAAGAGCTGGCGAGGCATTATATCATAAAGAAAAACCTCAAGTGACTCTTACACTCCTAAATATTTTGGGTGGGGGACAAGCTTTTTAGATTCACTGTTAGGCTGTTTACCTGCCAGCTGGTGTGACCACAGTAAAACCATGAAATATGTTATCATTATAATACTGTTTATCTAAAGAAAAAAAAAGTATAACATAGAAGACAGAGGTTTATACGGGTGTCCATGTACAAGGACTATCTTGTAGACACCATCAGTAGTTGTAAATATTAATAAATGTGTGGTTGCACCAGCTGACATTTTCTGGCTGGAAAAATTGATTATACTGTTTAAAAAATGAATTTCTACCATTATAAAATCTCGTAAACAAGTATCAATACCTTGACCAGATTCTTGCAGACACAAAATGCACATATCCTTTTTAAGAAGAATTCAATTTTTATTTTTTTTTATTAGTATAAGAAAACAACGTATTAAACTTTCAATTTTAAAAGCTTTATTTTTCATTGACCCCCCACACAAGTTGAAATACAGGCACACCTATAACTGTCCTTTATTGCTGGGAACATGGTCCACTATACCGCAAAAGACTAAGCTCCGATGTCATCTCTACATGTCATTCCTTCATTACATTTCCTTGGATAATTCCTTGGAAAGCCTAATCTTTGGTGACTACGCAAAAATATCAGCATTTCTATCAATTTCGAAACATGGAAGACTCCTTGGTTTCAAAGTGACTGTGACCCAGCAGGCTGCGGAGCGAGATGATCCAGATGACGATTCTGAGGCAGAAGAATTTCTCTCCCAGATTGTTCATGTGGCAGAGAGGGTAAGTGGGCACAATGAGTGAAATTCAACAAAAGGAGAAAAAATAAGAAAAGCCGAAAGAATGGAGACGGTCCCTGTCATGTGAGATGAAAGTCAGTGGAGTACTAGTCTGTGAGGGAAACAACATTAGCATGTGTATGAGAGAGAGAGAGAGAGAGAGAGAGAGAGAGAGAGAGAGAGAGAGAGAGAGACTTGGTGACTTTGCTATTCCGCCCATGTTTCTGTAACTAATAACTCTAAATGAGTTGCTGGAGGCCTTGTGTACAGTGTGATTATTTACACTAATCAAGTCATCAGAGCGGTGGCCCATGGCTGCTCGCTACATGAGGCGGTTTGTTCAGCCCTGCTCCCTAAAAAAGCGGCTCTGCCATCCTCCCGGGGCCACCCTCGCCCACACACAGCACGGTGAGGCAGCCGGAGGAGAGGAACATGCCACAGTAAGAGTGCCCAATTCCTCCTGGCTAGGACTACGTAATATATTGTTCTGATATAAGGACAATGTCCTTAGAAAAACTGTCGTCACAAGAGGCTGCAATATGCAAATGAGCCATTTATTAAGTCAATAAGATGTTGGGCTTTGAGCAGCAATGCAATCAACCCACAGTTATGAATGAGAACCAGTTCTAGATTGGTAAATACCAGAGTATCAATGTAAACTATTGCGTGATCAGCAGTGGAGAAACTGGAATTTTTGTTAACACTGCAAGCTGGTCACTCTCTCTCTCCCTCC